ATAATAATACCAGCAATATACAGCAGGTCATCTATTAATTAAGTTAATAGTTAATAGATATAAAACTGAGTGTTTTTATCACCTCCCTCAATTTAATTAAGTCAGAGCAAGTGATGTTTTACGAGTGTGTTGTTGTTTGCGTGTTTTTAGTCCCTCTCATCAAACGCAAATTAAAGGCTGTGAGAGTATTTTTTTTTTTGTCGTCACACATTGTGAGATTGAATGTCTGAGGGAGTGGGTGTGTGCTGGCATAAGAGTGTGCGTGCATGAATGCATGTGAATTTGCACACATTCATCTTTTTTTCATATATACCTGCGTAATTACAAATGTACGTGCGTGTATATTATGAATGCGTACGCTGGATATATTTTTCCTCAGTGTATATACGCTGGTTTGGAAATAGGGTAGTTGATGAGTGGAACAGTCTACCTAGTTGGGTTATTGAGGCTAGGACTTTGGGTAGTTTCAAATTTAGGTTGGATAAGTACATGAGTGGGAGGGGTTGGATTTGAGAGGGACTTGCACATCGGAGCTTGTTTTTTGGGTGGCATTGAAAATTGGGTTGGTCAAATGTTTGTTAGTGGGATGAATTGTAAAGGACCTGCCTAGTATGGGCCAACAGGCCTGCTGCTGTGTTCCTCCTTTCTTATGTTCTTATGTTCTTATGAGAGTTTACTGTAATCCACATTTTAGAGATCAAACTATTTTTGACGGGTAATGTTCAGATTACACGCAGCCTCAATGACCCTCATGTAGTCGATAGGCCTGAAACCCATTTAAGCAACCTATGTGTGCGCGCATGAAACCGTATAGGTGACAGCATCAGTAGTTTTCTTGAGCATTACTCAGCACATGCTCGCCTCTGCTGTCACGAGCATTGCACTGTCACCTCACATGGCTAGGCAAGTCTTAATTCCCTAACAGAGGCGCTCAGTACCATTGTATCAGGAGAAAGCTATACTTATTAGTCCTAACAAAAACAACAACAAAAATACAATAATAATAATAATAATAATAATAATAATAATAATAATAATAATAATAATAATAATAATAATAATAATAATAATAATAAACCAGTGGAATAAATAATTTCGTGTCAAAAGAGCTTGCTTCATCCCCCCCCTTCCTCCTTTGATAATATTCGCTAAGTCTTGTATACAGTGGGAGAAAGTGTGTCGATGCCTTGTTCTCAGGAAGGCAAAAAAGCGTGAGGTGTGAGACGTAGAGGAAAAGAAAAGGAAAAGAATTGGAAAATAAGTGAACAGTGAAGAAGAGAAGGATGTGGGCGAGAGATGTGGTTTCAAGGGTATGACGTATATATTATATATATATATATATATATATATATATATATATATATATATATATATATATATATATATATATATATAGGAGAGAGAGAGAGAGAGAGAGAGAGAGAGAGAGAGAGAGAGAGAGAGAGAGAGAGAGAGAGAGAGAGAGAGAGAGAGAGAGAGAGAGAGAGAGAGAGAGAGGAGAGAGTGGGGTCGGGGCAATGACTGGCTAAGTCAAGTAAAGTTAAACATGTATCTATCTCCACTCATACTAATGTGAGTCATAAAGATTACAAAATTTTCTTTAAGGAGTCCTCACAGCACCTCTCCGTCCATTCATGTCCAGTAATGCGTATCTGTGTCCTTGTCTCTAGTGATACCTGCTCGCAAGTGTTTAATAACATTGATCGTTGTCTAATTTATCCACCTGTGCATCAATGTTTAATAACATCTGTCCATCAAGTGTCTAGTAACATTTTTCTATCCACTCTGTAGAAAGTGTGTTGAACCTTCCCTATCCACAGCTAGTCCTTGGCATAATACTGTAGACTGACTCTTCCCCAAATATCTCCTAACCCCAAACTCTCTCAGCGCGACCCTCTCTCATTCATCAGCTGCCTAAGTTTCCAACCATCTATCATCTCCCACCCTAACCCCTCCATCGTCTTCAGTCTCTCCATCCCCAGCAATTCTCTTCACTCTTTTTTTCTCTTATTCTATTTCTACACGTTTCTATAATGTCGTGAAATCATGTAGCAAAGATGTATTTTTGTCAACAGACATTTATTACATACCATCGGTAACAAAAATGAACGAAGGAGTAATTGTTGCTGTTGTTGTTATTGTAATGTTGCTTTTGTTGCTGTTGTTGTTATTGTAATGTTGCTTTTGTTGTTGTTGTTGTTGTTATTGTAATGTTGCTTTTGTTGCTGTTGTTTGTTTCGTAGCTGTTTAACTTGTACCTGCGTTGTGTGCTGACCTTTTAGGACACATTAACATACATGGGTAATAAGCACAAGGTCACCTTTACTCTCGCTGAAGCCAACGGAAGCAATATATGGAGGGCACTGATAAATGAAGAGAGAGAGAGAGAGAGAGAGAGAGAGAGAGAGAGAGAGAGAGAGAGAGAGAGAGAGAGAGAGAGAGAGAGAGAGAGAGAGAGAGAGAGAGAGAGAGCGCAGACAGTAAAATTAACAGGAGAAAGGCACAAGAAATTTTACAAGGATTGTAACTTTGCATTTACCCACCTTCACACACACACACACACACACACACACACACACACACACACACACACACACACACACACACACACACACACACACACACACACACACACACTCCACCCAAACACAAAAACATAGTCACATACACACAGTATTCTTCCCCTTCGCCACAACATTGACACACCGCGTTCTGTGGTCCATTACATCATCCCTCTCACTCCAGAACGTGTGTATAGTCGTCTCTCTTCTCTCTCTCTCTTTCTCTCTCTGTTTTCCAGACTTAGCTTCTAGCCACACATCTTAATTTTAATGGGCTTGCCGATCCACCACCTCCTCCCCCCCTCTTTACAATATTCCATGTGAGCACTGACAAGTGCTCATTACGCTTTAGTTATCCATCACTTTATAAAATATGACAGCTGACCTTCCAAGCCCATATGGAAACTAAAGGAACACTAACATTGTCCTGGGATGTCAAGGTACCTCAAAACCCTTTCAATGCTTGCTAGCATGCACTGCCATGTTATGTGGTTTCTTTTACGCCTCTGGCGGTGTGGTGGGTGCAATGATTAGCTTTTGGTGCAATACTAACTTGCTTTTGCACAGTTTTCCTTACTAGTTTATACTCGCTACTAGTTCATACTCCGTACTAGTTTATACTCCCTACTAGTTCATACTTCCTACTAGTTTATACTCTGTATCTAATCTTCCTCCACCCTAAGTAATCTGCAAGTATGTATTTGCTGGAAGGTGAACAAGAGCGGCGGGAGGCGAGAGAGACTTACTCTCCGCGAGTATATAGGTTGGTATATGAAAAGGGAAGAGAGAAGAAGACTGCGTTGGTGGAGGAGCGCTTTAAAGTGCGTGAAACGGCCATTAAATGGTGGGTGTAGGTGTGTGACCTGCTGAGTGAAAGTTACAGGCACTCAGGCACTGACTTTGAAAGTGACCGTGATGATTGTGGCAAAAATAAGTGAGGGTCATTACCTCATATATATATATATATATATATATATATATATATATATATATATATATATATATATATATATATATATATATATATATATATATATATATATATATATATATATATGTCGTGCCGAATATGTAAAACTGGTCAATTAGCAAGAACTCATTTAAAATTAAGTCCTTTCTAAATTTTCTCTTATACGTTTAAAGATATATTTTTTTCATTAATGTTAATGTAAACATTTTTAATTTTGCTCCAAAAGTATCTTAGAAAACTTACCTAACCTTATTATAACAAGAGCAATTTATTTTAGCCTTACCCAACTAAATATATTTTAGATTTGTTTACAGTAATTTAATACTAAACAAACACAGTGAAATATATTTTTTTTCGTTAGGTTCAGAATGATTTTGGCGAAATTATTGCATACACAAATTTTCGGTTGCCCTATATGGCAAGATGAGCGTTGCTATTTAAGCCAAGATCACAAGTTCTGCCTATTCGGCACGACATATATATATATATATATATATATATATATATATTATATATATATATAATATATATATATATATATATATATATATATATATATATATACTTGTATCCACGCATGGCGGAGTGAACATCATAACACGCCATTCATGACGGATTAAAAGATGTTTCCAGAGCAAGACTCGTATAATTATGACAACGTATCACTCCTACGAATAAAAGCTTAATCATTATGAGTTGGCAAAGCTTGTTTTTTCCTCTCACTGAGTGAAACGTGTTCACAGTAAAAGCCTGGCAGGCACCAGCTGGAGGACACAGGTTGCAAATGTTGCCCACCAACAGGTAGCTTTGAGCAATCCTCAGAACCACTGACATATTATGTATACACAGGTAGTGGTCCCTCCCAAGGATGGGGGGGGTACCTTTATGTTATGAGGAGCTCTTGATCCAAGGAACTGTAGCTGTCCTTCCTTTCTATGAATCAAACCTGTTTACTTATCAATCCTCAACAGCTGCTCCTCACAATAATAATAATAATAATAATAATAATAATAATAATAATAATAATAATAATATTAATATAATAATAATAATAATAATAATAATAATAATAATAACAGGTGGTCAGGAAAAGAGGTGGGTGTTTTCAGTGGATTTTTACGATTATAACGTGTGGGAAGCGCTTAACCCGTGAGGGTTACATAACACCTGTGTAATGGTAGGCAATCAGATTTGATCCGAGGAGGGGATGATGGGTAGCTCCAGCTCCTCAGACTTACAATATGGTGTCGGTAAATCAAATTGAGAATGCGCATTCGAGGAGGTCCCGGCCGGATCAATACGTACAGCCAGACACCGCCCCTCACACATACCCACGGGCATCGCGTCACTACCATACCCATACTTACCAAAGTAGAGATGACTTAGCTCACGGAATCAACGAGATGTGAGAGTATACGCCATTGCGAACGAAAAAAAAGGAGTAAGAGAAACGGGCTCTAAGTGCTAACCTTTCTCGTTGAGGGTGTGTGAGAGACTGTGTGTCTTCCACAAGGCTGGCTGGATTTATCCCAGCCCAGGCCAGTCCATGCAGCTGCCGCATACCACCTGCCTCTATTTACCGCTTCTCTTCGCTGTTCCAGCCTTCTGAAACATGCTTATTTTTCTAGTATCAATTTCCGTGTAGAATTTTACACCAGTGAGATTACATGTGGCGAAATTCAACTTTTGTTTGGCCTTTTGGTAAGGTAACACCAGCGGTACAAGATCTTTACTGGTGACATGGCGGTGATATTGTCTGGTCTCTCACCACCTCTGATAATTGTTGCCATGTCATTTGGTTAATTGAGTTTAAAGCTTATCGACTACAAAAGGATTATTAAGGCTACCCAAAACCTGTCCACCCCCGGCCGAGAATGCTTCAAATTTAAATATTGGGATTCAATAAGCCGTGATTATTATTAAGCGCACTAAAATTACACACTTGTCGGTGAATGCATTCATGCAGTTTCCACACAAATCGTAGTTTTTTTTTTAATTTGCTAATATGTGGTTAATGATACATTTTTGAGTTATGTAAAGTATCGAAAGATAATCTAACTTAGCCTCCCCAAACACCGTAATGATAATAACTTTTGTGAGTTTACAGGAATCGTTAAGAAACTGACGAAGTGATCCTCGTAAGTTGCAGAATACCGGAGACACTGTTTGTATGTCTGAACATAAATATTATGTAATATTAACTTTATAGCCAAGTGAAGCCACTGTTGCGTGACACCTCTTTAAGAAACCAACAACCGTGATCCATCTTGTATTTATTCTGAGAAGAACATCACTCTTGATGTGTATACACTGTTATCAGCAGTGTATATACACTTGGAAGGGTGTATATTTCAGTATAAATAAACTTATGGTCTTACTTTGATCCACGCATTAGGAAATAAAGCATCCTTGAGTAGTATTAGATACCATGCTACCTTAATGATCCTAGTGAATTCGATAGAATTTAAACCTAATTAATCAACCAACATAGGGTCCAATGGGACTTGATTTATATACACGTAAACCTATAACACAAATTTGATTCACCAATAAAATAGTTAAGATTTCAGAGACTAAAATATAATTATCAGAATTTAATGTGGAACTTGACACGCAGTTAAATACAAAGATAATGTGATAGACTAAATGAAACGTGTGTGTGTGTGTGTGTGTGTGTGTGTGTGTGTGTGTGTGTGTGTGTGTGTGTGTGTGTATTAGGATTAAGAGGAGTTGCTAATAAGAAATAAAGGGATCGAATACATGTACTTATTTGACATCGAATCTTTCCAAAGGTGATGGTGACCAAAAAAAAAAAAAATCGTATGTATGGCATTTTTTTTTTTGTCAAGTCTGGGAGTCGAAGTTTCGGCTGAATAATCAATGTATTATATTTTATCTAGCTTATACCAAGTGGTCTGGAAGAAAAAAAAGAAAACTAGAAATTGCAGAAGGTATTGGCGTAGATGTGATATGGTTTTGTGATAGACACAGTCTGGAAGATCATGCCAGTGAAAGTGTGAAGTGAGTGATAAGGTTTTGTGATAGACACAGTCTGGAAGATCATGGCAGTGAAAGTGTGAAGTGAGTGATAAGGTTTTGTGATAGACACAGTCTGGAAGATCATGGCAGTGAAAGTGTGAAGTGAGTGATAAGGTTTTGTGATAGACACAGTCTGGAAGATCAGACCAGTGAAAGTGTGAAGTGAGTGATAAGGTTTTGTGATAGACACAGTCTGGAAGATCATGCCAGTGAAAGTGTGAAGTGAGAGATAAGGTTTTGTGATAGACACAGTCTGGAAGATCATGCCAGTGAAAGTGTGAAGTGAGAGATAAGGTTTTGTGATAGACACAGTCTGGAAGATCAGACCAGTGAAAGTATGAAGTGAGTGATAAGGTTTTGTGATAGACACAGTCTGGAAGATCAGACCAGTGAAAGTGTGAAGTGAGTGATAAGGTTTTGTGATAGACACAGTCTGGAAGATCATGCCAGTGAAAGTATGAAGTGAGTGATAAGGTTTTGTGATAGACACAGTCTGGAAGATCATGCCAGTGAAAGTGTGAAGTGAGTGATAAGGTTTTGTGATAGACACAGTCTGGAAGATCATGCCAGTGAAAGTGTGAAGTGAGAGATAAGGTTTTGTGATAGACACAGTCTGGAAGATCAGACCAGTGAAAGTGTGAAGTGAGTGATAAGGTTTTGTGATAGACACAGTCTGGAAGATCAGACCAGTGAAAGTGTGAAGTGAGAGATAAGGTTTTGTGATAGACACAGTCTGGAAGATCATGCCAGTGAAAGTGTGAAGTGAGTGATAAGGTTTTGTGATAGACACAGTCTGGAAGATCAGACCAGTGAAAGTGTGAAGTGAGAGATAAGGTTTTGTGATAGACACAGTCTGGAAGATCATGCCAGTGAAAGTGTGAAGTGAGAGATAAGGTTTTGTGATAGTCACAGTCTGGAAGATCATGCCAGTGAAAGTGTGAAGTGAGAGATAAGGTTTTGTGATAGACACAGTCTGGAAGATCATGCCAGTGAAAGTGTGAAGTGAGAGATAAGGTTTTGTGATAGACACAGTCTGGAAGATCATGCCAGTGAAAGTGTGAAGTGAGAGAGTGTTTGGGAAACGAGTAGATCATGAGGCTGTAAACATCAGCAAAAATAATAATCACTATTGAACAAATAAGGAATATTCTCAGATTCTTAACAGAAGTTCGTGTGAAGGACACTTAAAAAGAGAAAGTTGTTGGAACGGAAAGAGAGTGATGAGATGTACAAGTAAGAAAACCTCTTTCAACATAGATTATACAACTTGCTGAAGTGCAAAAGAGCCAAATCTACATTTACAAGACATGTAGGAATTATTCCAATAATCGATATCTTGTTTATTTTGAAGCTTCTAGACATACATTAGTTAGTGAATGCAACATGCATGGGAATAAGCTATCTCGTACTGACAGAAAGAACAAGAGGTGTAATGACAGAGAAATTTCAACCATTGCATCTGAAAAAAAAAGTTGCTGAAGGAACAGACACGGAAACTATGTATTTCCAATTTCTTGAAGGGCGTGAAAAGCTGGTGTTTAATGGGTTATAACGACCCCTCGACCTTACCAAGCTTCCAAGGAACACTTCTTCCAATAGAAATTTTAAATGCTTCAAGATACGAAACAGTAGTTATCGTAGAGGATTTTTAACTTCAGTCAAAGTGACTGAAATACTTAGAGAGCGAATCTAGAACCCTACGATCTCTTTGAGGTAATCAGGATGCATGCGACTAATGTCAACGGATTGTGGTGCATCAACTAGCCGTTGGACATCAACAGACCGTCGCACGCGTTAACGGGCCACTGCACGTCAACGGACCGTCGCAGGTGCATCTTCATTTACGTTGCATGAGTAGACGACGTTCTGTCACTGCGCAGCCAGACGGCGGAAACAGATCACCCTGGGCGCGGAAGTGAGGCATAGAAGTGTGTGTGTGTGTGTGTGTGTGTGTGTGTGTGTGTGTGTGTGTGTGTGTGTGTGTGTGTGTGTGTGTGTGTGTGTGTGTGTACATACTTATATGTGAGTGCAGGGGTCTATTCACGGCTCCTGGCCCCGGGCGCGGAAGTGCGGCGTAGCAGTGTGTGTGTGTACTCACTCACCTATGTGTACTCACCTATATGTAGCTGCAAGGGTCGATTCATAGACTCTGGCCCCTCCTCTTCCCTAGTCGCTCTGTGTGTGTGTGTGTTGCGTGTTGCAATTGCTGTTTTCCGTGGTCCTCTTTGCAACGTCACGTGGCAGAGGTTGCAAGGAACGCCGGACCTGTTGAATATACTTATCTCCCTGACTTGAGCAGCACGACTGACTTGCCCTCAATGATCTTCCTTAAACTCTCATATCATCTGCCAGACGCATAATGGTCAAACATTACCATTTTTTTCATTGGTTATGGTACGCCCAGCACCTGGACGGTAAACTTCCCATGAATCACCTGTCCTGTAGGAAGACGATGCTAAGGAAACTCTCATTATAGACGACATATCGCCTGTTTTATCCTACACTAAGCGGAGCCTCGTCCGAGTCCCAGGATGAGGTTCTGTGTATTCCCCTATCCTCAAGGTGACCGTGGTTTCCCCGCAAGGCTTAATAGAGGAAGAGAGACTTAACATACACTACTTCTGTTTTTGTTTATTGGACAAAATTGGTCATATGAGCAGTGTGTTGTACATGCGTGTTCACAGTGGGAAACAAAACTATCTGTTATTCCATGCCATGTTTCATCACAGAGGATGGATTTCTTACATTAAGTACTGGAAAAGTTAGGAACCAAGTTCCTCTCTCTCTCCAGAGCTTGTTCCGCCTCAAACGGAATGATTTCATTGCAGTATGTAAAATTTTTATCTTATTTGCGCCATTATCTTGGGCGTGGGCATATCACCATAGGATGCATATCAACCCAAATAGCTGACGGGTCGGTGGCGACGTGGACACCATTGGTCGTTACAGCATAAAAGGTATCACTTCCTCTGCAGTTATAGTATCGTTATCTACAGGTATCTCTACCTTAACAAATTATTAGTATATAAGTGTATTTTTGGTAAAAATGTTGTTATCTCTCGTTGCAACGTGTTTAAACAGTTCGTGAATGTGGTATTAATTCTGCACTCTTGTAATCTGTCTCATTCTTAGTCACATTGCCGAATTATGTTTCTCCTCCTCTCCACATTGTCTTTCATTTCTTGGTGTTGCTACACCAACCTGCCATATGTGCAATTGAAGTGAATGAATTCTGACCACCACTGTCTCTGCTGAACTGTTACTACTTTTTCCCACCTATGTAATGCTATACAGATACACTGTTCCCTTGTGTGACAGCACATTACGAGGGGGTAGTCATGTTGCCACTTGCAGGGTGGCAACATTCTGCCAGTGTATCTAAGGTTGTTAAATTAAAAAGAATCAGTAATTCCTTTGACTAGTATACAGGATAGAGCACTGTATAACATAAAGCAACAAACCCGTCTGGGTTATTCAACACAAAGAGTGGTAGGTCATTGTTTTGACTGCCTCACACTCACCATACACTAGTTGCCAAACTATATACAAATCAGTACAGACATGTTAGAAGTGTCTTTGCT